CATTGGGTGAGACTGGACTGCTAACACACACTGGGTGAGCATACTGCCTAACACACACGGTGAGCATACTGCCTAACACCACACTGGGTGAGCATACTGCCTAACACACCTGGTGGGGCATACTGCCTAACACACACTGGGGCATACTGCTAACACACACTAAGTGAGCATACTGCCCAACACACACGGGTGAGCATACTGCCTAACACACCACTGGGTGAGGGATACTGCCTAACACACACTGGGTGAGACTGGACTGGCCTAACACACACTGGGTGAGCATACTGCCAACACAACACTGGGTGAGCATACTGCCTAACACACACTAAGTGAGCATACTGCCTAAACACAAAAATGGGTGAGCATACTGCCTAACACACACTGGGTGAGCATACGCCTAAACACACACTGGGTGAGGGCTGGACTTGCCAACACACACTGGGGGAGGGATACTGCCTAACACACACTGGATGAGCATTTCTGCCTAACACACACTGGGTGAGCATACTGCCCTAACACCCCACTGGGTGAGCAACTGCCTAACACACACTGGGTTTAGCATACTGCCTAACCCACACTTTGGGGGAGCATACTGCCTAACACACACTGGATGAGCATACTGCCTAACACCACACTGGGTGAGCATACTGCCTAACACACACGGGTGAGCATACTGCCTAACACACCACTGGGTGAGCATACTGCCTAACACACACTGGGTGAGCATACTGCCTAACACACACTGGGTGAGCATACGCCTAACACACACTGGGTGACAACTGCTAACACACAACTGGTGAACTGCCTAACACACACTGGGTGAGACTGGACTGCCTAACACACACTGGGTGAGCATACTACCTAACACACACTGGGTGAGACTGGACTGCCTAACACACACTGGGTGAGCATACTGCCTAACACACACTGGGTTGAGCATACTGCCCTAACCACACACTGGGTGAGATTAACTGCCTAACACACACTGGGTGAGCATACTGCCTAACACACACTAAGTGAGCATACTGCCTAACACACCTGGGTGAGCATACTGCCTAACACACACTGGGTGAGCATACTGCCTAACACACACTGGGATGAGCATACTGCCTAACACACACTGGGTTAGCATACTGCCTAACACACACTGGGGGAGACTGGACTGCCTAACACACACTGGATGAGCATACTGCCTAACACACACTGGGGGGAGCATACTTCCTAACACCACACTGGGTGAGCATACTGCCTAACACACACTGGGGGAGCATACTGCCTAACACCCCACTGGGTGAGCATACTGCCCCAACACACACTGGGTGAGCATACTCCTAACACACACTGGGTGAGCTACTGCCTAACACACACTTGGGGGTGAAACATTCTGCCTAACCCACCACTGGGTGAGCATACTGCCTAACACACAAATGGGTGAGCATATGCCTAACAACACGGGTGAGCATACTGCCTAACACACACTGGGTGAGCATACTGCCTAACACACACTGGGTGAGAATACTGCCTAACACACACTGGGTGAGACTGGACTGCCTAACAACACTGGTGAGCATACTGCCTAACAACACTGGGTAGTACTGCTAACACAACACTGGGTGGACTGGTGCCTAAACACACGGGTGAGCATCTGCCTAACACACACTGGGTGAGCATACTGCTAACACCAATGGGGGAGTACTGGACTGTAACACACACGGGTGAGCTTACTGCCTAACACACGGGTGGATACTGCCTAACACACCACTGGTGAGACTACTGCTAACACACACTGGGTGAGCATACTGCCTAACACACACTGGGTGAGCATACTGCCTAACACACACTGGGTGAGCATACTGCCTAACACACACGGGTGAGAAAACTGCCTAACACCACTGGGGGAGCATACTGCCTAACACACACGGGTGAGCATACTGCCTAACACACACTGGGTGAGCAAAACTGCCCAACACACACTGGGGGTGGGGACTGGGACCTGCCTAACACACACTGGGTGAGAAAATGCCTAACACACACGGGGGAGCATACTGCCTACACACACGGGTGAGAAAATTGGACTGCCTAACCACACATGGGTGGAAAACTGCCCACACACACTGGGTGAGATACTGCCTAACACACACGGGGGGAGATGGACTGCCTAACACACACTGGGTGAGATACTGCCTAACACACACTGGGTGAGCATAGCCTAACACAACTGGGGTGAGACTGGACTGCCTAACACACCTGGGTGAGAATACTGCCTAACACACACTGGGTGAGCATACTGCCAACACACACTGGTGAGACTGGACTGCCTAACACACACTGGGTGAGATACTGCCTAACACACACTGGGTGAGATACTGCCTAACACACACTGGGTGAGACTGGACTGCCTAACACACACTGGTGAGAATACTGCCTAACACACACTGGGTGAGCATACTGCCTAACACACACTGGGTGAGATACGCCTAACACACACTGGTGAGACTACTGGGCCCACACACCCCTGGTGAGAAAACTGCCTAACACACACTGGTGAGCTATGCCTAACACACACTGGGGGAGCATACTGCCTAACACACACTGGGTGAGCTACTGCCTAACACACACACTGGGTGAGAACGCCTAACACACACGGGTGAGAAATGGACTGCCTAACACACACTGGGGGAGAATACGCCTAACACACACTGGGTGAGAATAATGCCCAACACACACTGGTGAGACTGGACTGCCTAACACACACTGGGGGAGCAAAACTGCCTAAAACACACGGGTGAGCATACTGCCTAACACACACTGGGTGAAATACGCCTAACCCCAAAACTGGGTGAGACTGGACTGCCCAAAAACACATGGGTGACATTGGCTAAAAATAGAATTCCATTTACAAAACTTATGAGCATTACGTAAACGATTTTTAACATCTCCAAAAATGGGTTGACAATTATGGCAACCACCCCTGGATTTCCAAACACAGGGGAATAATCTAAAATGAAAACAGGGTTCTAAATCAACTTCGGATAAATATAACTTCCAAAACCAAATAATTCATTTAATTATTTTATCAAAAATTAACTGCTTTTTTTCGATAATCAAAATAATGCCTTTTTAAAAAAATTTAAATTTTGCAAAATGCACATCCACTAATAATGACCAACTTCTGGTAGCATTATAGAAAATGAACACGTCTTATAAACAATCTCTCAAGCACATGCCCACGTGCTACGGCGTAGCCAGCTAATCTTTTAGCCAACTTGGATCTATTTGCTTGCTAACAAAGAAGAACAGTTGAACTGTTTTTAATACACTCTCCTGTCTGTCACAAAATGTTGAAAAGAAGTGGTCTACCTGGATAAGAAGATGCTTATTTCTCAGAATGAGAACAAGTTGCCAATTCCTGATATACAGTTGAAGTCGTAAGTTTACATACACCTTTGCCAAATACATTTAAACTCAGTTTTTCACAATTCCTGACATTTAATCCTAGTAACAATTCCCTGTCTTAGGTCAGTTAGGATCACCACTTTATTTTAAGAATGTGAAATGTCAGAATAATAGCAGAGAGAATGATTTATTTCAGCTTTTATTTCTTTCATCACATTCCCAGTGGGTCAGAAGTTTACATACACTCAATTAGTATTTGGTAGCATTGCCTTTAAATTGTTAAACTTGGGTCAAACGTTTCGGGTAGCCTTCCACAAGCTTCCCACAATTAGTTGGGTGAATTTTGGCCCATTCCTCCTGACAGAGCTGGTGTAACTGAGTCAGGTTTGTAGGCCTCCTTGTTCGCACACGCTTTTTTTTTGTGATGGCCAATCCAATACCTTAACTTTGTTGTCCTTAAGCCATTTTGCCACAACTTTGGAAGTATGCTTGGGGTCATTGTCCATTTGGAAGACCCATTTGCGACCAAGCTTTAACTTCCTGACTGATGTCTTGAGATTTTGCTTCAATATATCCACATATTTTTCCTTCCTCATGATGCCATCTATTTTGTGAATTGCACCAGTCCCTCCTGCAGCAAAGCACCCCCACAGCATGATGCTGCCACCCCCGTGCTTCACGGTTGGGATGGTGTTCTTCAGCTTGCAATCAACCCCCTTTTTCCTCCAAACACAACGATGGTCATTATAAGTCTGTGGCTAAACTTCTGCTAGCGGTATGTGGTATTATAAAACACAGACCAGACAGCTAGCACATCACTGTCTGTGGCTAAACTTCTGCTAGCTGTACCTGGTACTGCAATACTGCATGCGACAAACTGAGCATTAATTTTCCACAATGTTCATTGATACTCCCATTTTAGTAGGATCTGCTCTGTTCAACATTTTGGGAGTTGAGACATGAAAAAGGGTATCATTACAAAGGTTAACTTCTCCTCTATTACAGTAAAATAATGTCGTAATGAGTTTCGGTGTCCATATGACTGATTCTTTTGGACCAAACCTCAAATGCAAATAGCGAGTTGAAACTGTTCATCAGAGGGGAAGAAATGATCTTTCATCTTTGTTGTTGTGAGTGGCAGAGGAAGGGGCTTGGTGTCTGTGGAGTGGGAAAGTGCACAGTGCACAGAAGGAGGAGGGGCTTGGTGTCACAGCACATACGGGGGAGGGGCTTGGTGTCACAGCACATACGGGGGAGGGGCTTGGTGTCACAGCACATATGGGGGAGGGGCTTGGTGTCTGTGGAGTGGGAAAGTGCACATGCACAGAAGGAGGAGGGGCTTGGTGTCACAGCACATACGGGGGAGGGGCTTGGTGTCACAGCACATACGGGGGAGGGCTTGGTGTCACAGCACATATGGGGGAGGGGCTTGGTGTCACAAGCAACATATGGGAGGGGCTTGGGTGTCACAGCACATAAGGGGGAGGGGCTTGGTGTCTGTGGAGTGGGAAAGTGCACAGTGCACAGAAGGAGGAGGGGCTTGGGTCACAGCACTAAGGGGGAGGGGCTTGGTGTCACAGCACATATGGGGGAGGGGCTTGGTGTCACAGCACATAGGGGGAGGGGCTTGGTGTCACAGCACATAAGGGGGGAGGGGCTTGTGTCACAGCACATAAGGGGGAGGGGCTTGGTGTCACAGCACATAAGGGGGAGGGGCTTGGTGTCACAGCACATACGGGGGAGGGGCTTGGTGTCACAGCACATAAGGGGGAGGGGCTTGGTGTCACAGCACTAAGGGGGAGGGGCTTGGTGTCACAGCACATACGGGGGAGGGGCTTGGTGTCACAGCACATAAGGGGGAGGGGCTTGGTGTCACAGCACATAAGGGGGAGGGGCTTGGTGTCACAGCACATACGGGGGAGGGGCTTGGTGTCACAGCACATAAGGGGGAGGGGCTTGGTGTCACAGCACATAAGGGGAGGGGCTTGGTGTCACAGCACATAAGGGGGAGGGGCTTGGTGTCACAGCACATAAGGGGGAGGGCTTGGTGTCACAGCACATAAGGGGGAGGGGCTTGGTGTCACAGCACATACGGGGGAGGGGCTTGGTGTCACAGCACATAAGGGGGAGGGGCTTGGTGTCACAGCACATAACGGGGGAGGGGCTTGGTGTCACAGCACATAAGGGGAGGGGCTTGGTGTCACAGCACATAAGGGGGAGGGGCTTGGTGTCACAGAACAGAAGGGGGAAGGGCTTGGTGCCACAAGCAGACATACACGGGGAGGGGCTTGGTGCACAGCAAACATAAATTCCCACCGAGAAAACATTACAACAACTAGAAAACATTACAACCTAGAAAACATTACAACCGAGAAAACATTACAACCGAGAAAACATTACAACCTAGAAAACATTACAACCTAGAAAACATTACAACCGAGAAAACATTACAACATAGAAAACATTACAACCTAGAAAACATTACAACCGAGAAAACATTACAACCTAGAAAACATTACAACCGAGAAAACATTACAACCTAGAAAACATTACAACCTAGAAAACATTACAACCTAGAAAACATTACAACATAGAAAACATTACAACCGAGAAAACATTACAACCTAGAAAACATTACAACCTAGAAAACATTACAACCTAGAAAACATTACAACATAGAAAACATTACAACCTAGAAAACATTACAACCTAGAAAACATTACAACCTAGAAAACATTACAACCTAGAAAACATTACAACCTAGAAAACATTACAACATAGAAAACATTACAACCTAGAAAACATTACAACCGAGAAAACATTACAACCGAGAAAACATTACAACCTAGAAAACATTACAACCTAGAAAACATTACAACATAGAAAACATTACAACCTAGAAAACATTACAACCGAGAAAACATACAACCGAGAAACTTACAACCTGAAAACATTACAACCTAGAAAACATTACAACATAGAAAACATTACAACATAGAAAACATTACAACACGAGAAAACATTACACCGAGAAACATACAACATAGAAACATTACAACCGAGAAAACATTACAACCTAGAAACATTACAACCTAGAAACATTACAACCGAGAAACATTACAACATAGAAAACATTACAACCGAGAAAACATTACAACCTAGCAAACATTACAAAAACCGAGAAAACATTACAACTCGAAAACATTACACTAGAAAAAATTACAACCGAGAAAACATTACAACCTAGAAAACATTACAACCGAGAAAACATTACAACCTAGAAAACATTAACAACCGAGAAAACATTACAACCCGAGAAAACATTACAACCGAAAAACTTACAAACCTAGAAACATTACAACCGAGAAAACATTACACGTAAACATTACAACCGAGAAAACATCCTAGTCAACCTAGAAAACATTACAACCGAGAAAACATTACAACCAGAAAACATTACAACCGAGAAAACATTACAACCTAGAAAACATTACAACCTAGAAAACATTACAACCGAGAAAAAAACGTACAACCTAGAAAAATACACCGAGAAACATACAACCGAGAAAACATTACAACGAGAAAACATTACAACCGAGAAAACATTACAACCTAGAAAACATTACAACCAGAAAACATTACAACCGAGAAAACATTACAACAAAAACATACACCGAGAAAACATTACAACCTAGAAAACATTACAACCGAGAAAACATTACACCAGAAACATACAACTAGAAAACATTACAACCGAGAAAACATTACAACCTAGAAAACATTCACGAAACTTCAACCTAGAAAACATTACAACCTAGAAAACATTACAACCAGAAAACATTACACAAACATTCACGAGAAAACATTACAACCTAGAAAACATTACAACCGAGAAAACATTACAAACCTAGAAAACATTACAACCGAGAAAACATTACAACCTAGAAAACATTACAACCGAGAAAACATTACAACCGAGAAAACATTACAACCGAGAAAACATTACAACCGAGAAAACATTACAACCTAGAAAACATTACAACCGAGAAAACATTACAACCTAGAAAACATTACAACCTAGAAAACATTACAACCGAGAAAACATTACAACCTAGAAAACATTACAACCGAGAAAACATTACAACCTAGAAAACATTACAACCGAGAAAACATTACAACCTAGAAAACATTACAACCGAGAAAACATTACAACCTAGAAAACATTACAACCGAGAAAACATTACAACCTAGAAAACATTACAACCGAGAAAACATTACAACCTAGAAAACATTACAACATCGAGAAAACATTACAACCGAGAAAACATTACAACCGAGAAAACATTACAACCTAGAAAACATTACAACCGAGAAAACATTACAACCTAGAAAACATTACAACCGAGAAAACATTACAACATAGAAAACATTACAACCGAGAAAACATTACAACCGAGAAAACATTACAACATAGAAAACATTACAACCGAGAAAACATTACAACATAGAAAACATTACAAACCTAGAAACATGACAACGAGAAAACATTACACATAGAAAACATTACAACCTAGAAAAACATTACAACCTAGAAAACATTACAAACCGAGAAAACATTACAACCGAGAAAACATTACAACTAGAAAACATTACAACCGAGAAAACATTACAAACCGAGAAAACATTAACAACCTAGAAAACATACAACCTAGAAAACATTACAACCTAGAAAACATTACAACCTAGAAAACATTACAAACCGAGAAAACATTACAACATAGAAAACATTACAACCGAGAAAACATTACAACCTAGAAAACATTACAACCGAGAAAACATTACAACCTAGAAAATATTACAACATAGATTCTTGCAATACAGGCATTTGGAACATGGCACTAAAACAGAAATTCTAATTAATATAATTTCTTTGATCTATCGCCCAGCTCTAACACTATAGAAAACTACTGACATCTCTCTAGCAGCCATGGGGGCTTTTCGCCTCACACACCCTCCAGTCGACATCAGAGGCAGAGGGCATCGGCCATTTAGCGTCACATTTAGTTTTTCTCTTATTCTGACAACACATTTAGTTTTTCTCTTATTCTGACAACACATTTAGTAATTCTTTCATTCTGACAACACATTTAGTAATTCTTTCATTCTGACAACACATTTAGTAATTCTTTCATTCTGACAACACATTTAGTAATTCTCTCATTCTGACAACACATTTAGTAATTCTTTCATTCTGACAACACATTTAGTAATTCTCTCATTCTGACAACACATTTAGTAATTCTTTCATTCTGACAACACATTTAGTATTGCTCTCATTCTGACAACACATTTAGTAAGTATTTCATTCTGACAACACATTTAGTAATTCTCTCATTCTGACAACACATTTAGTAATTCTCTCATTCTGACAACACATTTAGTAAGTATTTCATTCTGACAACACATTTAGTAATTCTCTCATTCTGACAACACATTTAGTAATTCTCTCATTCTGACAACACATTTAGTAATTCTCTCATTCTGACAACACATTTAGTAATTCTCTCATTCTGACAACACATTTAGTAATTCTCTCATTCTGACAACACATTTAGTAATTCTCTCATTCTGACAACATATTTAGTAATTCTCTCATTCTGACAACACATTTAGTAATTCTCTCATTCTGACAACACATTTAGTAATTCTCTCATTCTGACAACACATTTAGTAATTCTCTCATTCTGACAACACATTTAGTATTGCTCTCATTCTGACTGCCTGACTGTCTTTCTGCAGTAGATGGGTTGGGGGACAGGGGCTTAGGTGTGTGTCAGTAGAATATTGGGTTATGGCTAGCTAGTTGTGATAATAGAGTAGTGCAGACGTAACAGTGGTTTAGGGGCTAGTGTTAGGGTGGTTAGGGTGGTTAGGGTGGTTAGGGGGGTTAGGGTGGTAGGGTGGTTAGGGTGGTTAGGGTGGTTAGGGGGGTTAGGATGGTTAGGGTGGTTAGGGTGGTTAGGGGGGTTAGGATGGTTTAGGGGCTAGGGTGGTTAGGGTGGTTAGGGTGGTTAGGGGGGTTAGGGGGGTAGGGGGGGTTAGGGGGGTAGGGGTGGTTAGGGTGGTTAGGGGGGTTAGGATGGTTAGGGTGGTTGAGGTGGTTAGGGGGGTTAGGAATGGTAGGGTGGTTCGGGGGGTAGGGTGGCTAGGGGGGGTTAGGGGGGGTAGGGTGGTTAGGGTGGTTAGGGGGGTTAGGATGGTTAGGGTGTTAGGGTGGTTAGGGGGGTTAGATGTTTAGGGGGCTAGGGTGGTTAGGTGGTTAGGGTTAGGGGGTTAGGGGGGTTAGGGGGGTAGGGTGGTTAGGGTGGTTAGGTGTGTTTAGGGGGTTAGGGGGGTTAGGGTGTGTTAGGAAGGTTGGGGTTAGGTGGTTAGGGGGGTTGGGGGTTAGGGGGTTAGGTGGTTAGGGTGGTTAGGGTGGTTAGGGGTTGGTTGGTTAGTGTGGTTAGGGGGGTTAGGTGGGTTGGGGGGTTAGGGGGTTAGGGTGGTTAGGGTGGTTTAGGGGCTAGGGTGGTTTAGGGGCTAGGGGGGTTAGGGTGGTTAGGGTGGTTTAGGGGTTAGGGGGGTTAGGGGGTTAGGGTGGTTAGGGGGTTAGGGTGGCTAGGGTGGTTTAGGGGCTAGGGTGGTTTAGGGGCTAGGGTGGTTAGAGGGTTAGGGTGGCTAGGGTGGTTTAGGGTTAGGGTGGTTAGGGTGGTTTAGGGCTAGGGTGGTTTAGGGGCTAGGGTGGTTAGAGGGTTAGGGTGGCTAGGGTGGTTTAGGGGTTAGGGGGGTTAGGGGGTTAGGGTGGTTAGGGGGGTTAGGGTGGTTAGGGTGGTTTAGGGGCTAGGGTGGTTTAGGGGCTAGGGTGGTTAGAGGGTTAGGGTGGCTAGGGTGGTTTAGGGGTTAGGGGGGTTAGGGGGTTAGGGTGGTTAGGGGGGTTAGGGTGGTTAGGGTGGTTTAGGGGCTAGGGTGGTTAGGGTGGTTAGGGGGGTTAGGGGGGTTAGGGTGGTTAGGGTGGTTTAGGGGTTAGGGGGGTTAGGGGGTTAGGGTGGTTAGGGGGGTTAGGGTGGTTAGGGTGGTTTTAGGGGCTAGGGTGGTTAGGGGGTTAGGGTGGTTAGGGGGGGTTAGGGTGGTTAGGGTGGTTAGGGGGGTTAGGAGGTTAGGGTGGTTAGGGGGGTTAGGGTGGTTAGGGTGGTTTAGGGGCTAGGGTGGTTAGGGTGGTTAGGGGGGTTAGGGGG